AATAAATGCCATTCAGAAATGAAAAAAAAAAAATGAACTGAATGGATATTAGGTGGTTTTGCTATTTTCCGGTAGGAAAATACATAAGTTCTGCCGGAAAGACCAGAAGGGCCTAGTTCTTTGACTGATATTTTTTTTATGATATTCGACTGCGATCATATGAAACTAATTGTGATTGAATTGATGACATATTCATCAAATTGGAATACGAAAATCATGGCGAATGATCAAATCTTTTCATAATCGTAAACAAAACTAGCCGCAGCTTTTGACATAAATAAGGAAAACCAAAATTTAACTTTTAGGATGCAATAACACCCATCGATAGTTAAGTCTCCCATTTTTTAGTCATATCTTTTCGGGTATCCCAAAAATATTATAATGGCCATCACGGGACACACGTTAATATTAACCATCGCCATGTTCTTCTGAAAACAATAATAGTTAGAACAGAAGGTATTGTATAAGCGACAAATACGCCAAATATTCTGAGGTCGACTCGAGGTGCACATACAGTAAATACAAGAAGGAAAGAGGAGCAGAAGAAGGACACAAGAGCTATCATGCTGTTTGCCGTCACGGCATAGGAGTAAGTATTCAAATAATAAGTAATGAAACTTAATAAAACCACAGAATACACCATTTACAAACAAGCGAAACGAAGGGCTTTTTTACAATCCAAATTTCTTTGCGCATGTGCCAATCCGCCATGTTGTAAATAGTTTATCTCTAAACCTAAAAAAACTTTTCACGTACATATCGAGATTGTACGTATTATTTGTAAGAATTTCCTGTTAAGAAATGTTGTTTAATAGTAAAAAAAGAATAATACTGTTATACATATTTTTGTAATAAACTCATTGTGATGACTGCACGCAAAAGAGGATTTTCTTATGTTGTTCGTGGATGCCCATCTAGATATTTAATGTTTACATACTGAGTAATATTTATGTTGTGGTTTTAAGTACAAGTGAAATAGATAATGTTATGCAGCCAGTTATCATTGACAATAAAACTGATGATAAACATAGTCCTGATACTTTGATTCTGAAGTTTCTGGAACAAGTGATTTTATTTATTACTCCTACAACTGTATTATGCATTCCACTAATCACTAATAAGCATTAACATATTTACTTTGAATGTTTGTATGTTATTTGATCATTAAATATATTTTTGTATTTCAGATGTTGATGTTAATATGCAGCAAGTGTCTACCAGACCGCATAGCATACTCCAGTATATTCACAAACACCTGCAACGCAAACATCTCGAAGTTATCTGGTAGTACATCAAGAAAATCCAAAATGAGGTTGAAAATCAAAACTTTATGTACGAAAGTTAAGAAAGCATGCACCTTCTCCAAAAAGAAGAAGGAATAATCAAACTGAGTATACAAGAAATAATGCAATTTTACAAATCCATACTCCATTAGATATGTCTAAATGCATATTTAGAAAACAAAGACGACGCTATAACAATGGGCCTCACAGACCAGACACACTGTCCAGGAAACGGACTTCCTACACACATAGATATTGTAGTTGCTAGAAACCTAGAACTACAAACAGAATTAAAAACATTAAAGAAGGCACAACGGATCACAACTCAACCTACTAAAACTAAGAACGGGAGAAGAAGAAAGCATAATCAAAAGAGTGAAAAAGAAAACAAAGTGGACAAATTTCAAAAGATTACTGAGCACTGGAATAAATATAGTTCCAGTGATAGACAACCCACCAGAAATGGAGGACAGAGTCCTAGAGTTGGAAAACATCATCCAATAACCACTCAGAAACAGCACTCATAAACAGCACTACAGAAGACGAAGTAGAAATACACACGGGTAAATTTAAAGACATGCCTTAAGTAATAAAATATTTGATAATGGAAAAGAACAGAGCAAAGCAGACAGCAAGAAGGACATGGAACCAGGCAGATAAAAACAGAGCAAATAGACTGAACAGGGAGGTCAAAACAGCACTACAACAACATCGTAGTGAAAGCTGGGAAAACCACATAAGAGACATAGAGGAACAAGACCCTAATATGCAAAATATTTGGAGGCTCCAGAGAATACTTAGAAACGACAGAAAGTCAATCCCTCCATTACGCGGAGAAAATGGAATAGTGTACATTACCGTGGAAAAAGCAGAGGTTCTTCGTTATTAACAAGATATAATTTAAACAATTTAAGCACGCAACATTGAACGCAGGTGCCAAAATTATCGAGCTAAATATGCTGTGTTTTTTAAGATGTGCTAACCCTTTGTCAATCATAAGCGGCTATGAAATAGGTAGCAGAAATGAATGATGCTGGTAAAAAACTGCGTACAACATCAAAGCTGACTACCAAAAGAGTAATTAAACGAAAATAAGATCTAAATGGGTGAGTCGATAAAATCCATGAAAGTGTATTATTTTCTGGGTTTATAGGCCGTGGTCCAGAATTATTTCTTCTTAAAATTTAGTCAGTAACTGCGACAGACACTATCAAAGGCTATGCAATTAACTGAAGTTACCCGAAAACAGTTACGACTGTTGCTGCAACGCATTTGTTAATATCTACCGCAGTAGCAGATTTAACACCAAGAAGAAATATTGCAGACACTAAACGTATTAAAAACTGAAGAAGGTCCACTCTCAATCAAAATTAATTTGATGAATCTTGACGACACGGTACTGTCAACTCAATATAACCTTATATTCTAATAAATACAGTATCAAACATGAAACATTTGCTAATACAGTGCGTTAAGTTTTGGATTAGGTATACACTCTATAAATGGCAACACTGCGCGTCTTCGACTTGCACTACATATCTGCTTCGTTGACTTGTCGTTGCACGTCGCCGGTCGGCAAATTTGTCATATTGTCATTATACCGTGGTTGTTTAAAGGTATAACAGCGTAGAGTTTTAATTTATTTTTGTAAACATGTCTGTTTATATGGCCGCGGAAAAAGCTCAAATAATAAAATGGTTTTATAGTGGCAATTCTGCGCAACAGTGTGTAGATTTATTTTCTGTGTTTTTTGAGGGAAGACCAATTCCTTGTGTACAGTCAATTTATAATATTGTTAAAAATTTTGAGAGTTGTTATTGCCTCAAAAATTGCAGAAAATGTCACGCTCGAGAAGTGTTACCAGAAAAAGTTGAGGAAAGAGAATACCGGGATACACAAATTTGTGCAACAATCGAGGTAGATTCAACACGTTCAAGTAGAAGCGTTGCTAGAGAGTTAGATGTTAGCAATGTTACTGTAACGAAAGTATGGAAAAAGCACGGTTACAAGAATTTTAAATATTCGAAAACGCAGCAGCTTTATCCAGACGATTACTTTCGAAGAATGGAGTTTTGTGAAACTCTAATAACGAAGGCTAATAGTGAACCAAATTTTATTAAAAACATTTTATTCACTGATGAATCTTCTGTTTCGTTAGTAGGGAGACACAATCCTTCCATTACGAGGTATTGGGCGCGGGAAAACCAGCACAGAAGTGTTGTTTACCGAACTCAACGTCCTCAAAAAGTTAACGTCTGGACTGGCATTTTAGGAGACCACATAATAGGTCCATTTTTTATTGAGGGCAACTTGAATAGTAGAGTATACCTCGATTTGTTACAGAATCATGTTCTTCCCGCTATTCTCAATCTTCCTGATGTAAATCTGGAGAATGTTTGGTTTCATCAAGACGGCTGTTCAGTTCACAACGCTCGAATTATTAGGGAGTATTTAAACAATACTTTCCCGAATCGAGTTATCAGTGGAACAGGCGATATTAAGTGGCCTGCGCGATCTCCAGATCTTACACCCATGGACTTCTTTTTTTGGGGACATTTAAAAAGCATTATCTACGCTCATCCTGAGGCTAGAGCCCAAAATTTGGATGAATTAAAAAATCGAATAAGAGAAGTCTCCAATTCTGTTACAGCAGAAACTCTTTCATCTGTTCGCAGAAGTTTTTATGACAGATTGGGGTACTGTTCAGCCGTAGAAGGTCAACTATTTGAACCATTTCTGTAGGTCATAAAGAATTATTTTTTATTTTATTAGGAATAATATTTTAATTTTCAATAAGAGTATATTTTTTATTTTATCTTTTTAAAGAAATACGCTTTTATTTTTAATTCAACCACAAAAAAATTTTCACATTAATAAAAATCGATAACAATGCACCGATTAGTTCAGTGCATTTTTATCGAATTTCCTACTATTAAAATCGGCTTTACGTAATGAAACATGAGATCGGACGACAGAGAAGTACATCCCTAACGTTTTGTGAGTTACTAAACTAAAATAAATGATTTTCTGTCGGTGTAGATTTTCGGGTCGGAGAACGAACATTTGCAACGTTGCCGATTTTAGCGCTCCGTATAGTGTGCAATACCTAATCAAAAACTTAACGCACTGTATATAGAATTAAAACATTTAAATGTGTGTAGAAAAATCTATCCAAGTTTTTCAATGGTTATTATTAAGACACTGCGATCAGAATGTACCAACCACACACTTTGAAAACAAATACGTCTTATTTTGTATATATTATAAAAGACGAACATAAGTAATAAGTCAACTCAAGATTTTTATAAACAGATAGTTATTTCGTCAATTGTGTAATTAAACAACTTCATATTTATACTTGGTCCTGCCAACCTTGACAGAACTGATTTTTTTTTTATTTTTTTGCCACCTCTGACAATACCTTGGACAATAAAATAAAAAGCAGCATTTAATAAAAGACTTTGCTATCTTTACAAACAGCAAAGTTTTACCGGCGTTGCAAAATTCATATTCTCAATTTTGATTTTTTTTCTCTTCCAGTAGACCGATGACTTCTTGCAAAAACAATAAAACTAAGCGACTTGATCTGGTTAAGCAAGTATAATTAGATGGAGATGCTGCTTTTTCCACGTTTGCCGCAACTCGTGCGTGCAGAGCTCTACTAGTAGAACCGACGGAGATCCAGGCGGCAGCAACACTGCCTTCTCTGCTGATTTTTCACACCCATGGAGTCCAGCCCTCATATAGTAAAGCCAAGTTGTCCAAATTTGTTGCTTCGCGAATCACATGGTCCACCTAAAAAATGCATGATTGCTTTAAACTGAACTATAAGGATTTTAAATATTACAAATGTATTACAAGTGATCTTTTTCACTTAAGAAGACAAGAAAAAACAAATATTTATCACTCATAATAATTTTATTATTTTTTAAGAATATTCTCCACGTAGATCACTATATTTTTCAATGAGTCTTTTAAATCTGTTAGTCCAGTGAATAAGTGGTTAAGTCGATTTTTTGCCAAAATAGGTTTAGTGCAGTAATGACTACAGAATGATTTCTCGGATGTGGTGAATAAGTAGTTAAGCGGTAAGCGGACTCTGGCCAAGGATATATGCATGTGTATTTTTGGTCATCTGTGAAATTGATGTACTCTTTAGATTCTCTCTCTTGTCGTTTCCTCATTGCTGAGGATCGTGATTCCCTACAATGCGGGCTGTCAATTCTTCTCCATCTCTTGCGATTTTGGGCTGCTCTCATGGACTCGGAAAACGTCTCTCCAGTGGCTTTCTGTACTTGATCTGACCATCGGATAGGTGAGCGTCCTCGGCCTCTACGTCCTTCTACGTTTCCGCACACAATTAGTCTTTCTAAGTTGTCATTGTCTCTTCTCGCAATGTGGCCAAAAAACTTTAAAACATTTGCAAGACACTGAGAGGAGAGTCTGGTCTGAATGTTTAGCTCTTCGAGAATCGACTGATTGGATCTGTGCTCCGTCCACGAGACGCGTAGCATTCGTCTCCAGCACCACATTTCGAATGCGTCAATCCTTTTCCTATCCTCTGATTTTATTGTCCATGTTTCGGCACTCTTTAGATTAAGTGAACTTAATTAAAAACATAATAAAATAATGTCTTAGTAAATGAATGGTTAAATTGAACTGTCCAGTTATGACCAATAATTATTTTTTGTGCTTAACAGGTTAACTCGATTTGACGTATTTTTGGTCCACTGTGCATAACTGGTTAACTATATCATAGTTATTATATCATGAAATTTTCTGACTAATTTACGATCTAAAGCAGATATTATATATAAAATGCAGATAGCGTTGGACATTTATTGAATTTTTAAAGAACACTATTCGGGGAAGTACAAGCTCATATAACGATATTATTATCGAGGTTAAATTCAAAGTTTCTTCTTCTTCTCGTGCCACTCCTAGCGGAGATTGGAAATCGTCATCGCCACTGCGACTTTGTTAGCAGCGGCGCCTAAAAAGTTCAATCGAACTACACCCGAACCATTCACGTAGATTACGAAGCCACGATATTTTTCTTCTTCCCACACTTCTTTTGCCCTTAATTTTGCCCTGCATGATGTTTCAAAGTTTAAATTTAATTTAATTTTTATTCTGTGTCCGATAACATTAGTTCGTCATAGTATTTCTGCATTGTGTTTAAAAGATGGATTCCCGATCAACATTTTTAAGAGAATTTAAAAGAAAAAGCTTTGACAAAAAAGATTGTGTTGCCTGTTTTTGTTCAGACAAACTAAAGGACAATAATGATAGCGATTTAAGTATGGTAAGGTAGTTATTTAGATCTCTACAAAACAGTTTTAGAACAGTTTTTTGTTTTAGATGTGAATGCCGCAAATACATCATCAGCTAATAATAACGTTGCCATTGATGTGTTGGAAGATTTTGATTCAGATGATAGCATTGCTGATCCGATTTATTTACCACAACCCAGATATTCAAGCTCTTCAGATGAAGGAACCTCCAACCCTAAGCGGACGAAAAAAACAAATCTGTGCCAAGAAGACAACAATGGAAGCAATTCATGTAACACTGAAGTTGTTGAGGTAAGAACTAATAATAAAAAATATATTAAAAACGGGAGATCCAGACATCAAAGAGCTGAATGCAAAAAATTGAGAAATTTAGGAAATCATATAAAACTGAAAAAGGAAAAATAATATCTGAAAGAACAATGGGTACTTTAAAATCATGTAGAATGAAATGCAATGAGAGGATAACAGAAAATGATAAAAAAGTTTGCTTTGAAAACTATTGGAATTAAGGAAGTAGAAACAAGCACGACGTGTTTCTTTGACAGAAATAAATGACAAAAAGACTAAAAAAATATTACTAATCCAAAAAAGGCAGGCCATTTACAATTTGATAATTGATAAACAAAAAGTAAAAGTATGCAGAGATTGTTTCCAAAAAATATTGGGTGAAACAAAAGGTTTTATCCAATTAGTAATAGAAAGAAAGAACAATTCTGCAAATGGTACAATACAAAAAGACCAACGAGGTATGGCCTTTCCTTCAAGTAAATGGAGCTTAAAGATTTGTAAGATATCAAGTCCCTAATTTTGTCATTTCGGAGTACAGGTACTGATTCAAAGATGCAGGGACGTTAACTGCGACGTATACGCGTGCTTGATCAACAAAGAAAAGGCATTTGACAGAGTTCAACATCAAAAGATGATAAACATTTTAAAAGAGGTAGACCTGGATGACAAAGACCTCAGAATAATTTCAGAACTCTACTGGAATCAGACCGCATACATGAAAATTAACGGAGAAGAAACAGATCACATAAAAATACTACGTAGAGTTAGACAGGGATGTATCCTATCGCCGTTGATATTTAATATGTACTCAGAGAAAATTTTTTAACGAGGCTCTTTACGGAATAGACGAAGGCATCCTTCTAAATGGTGTGAAAGAGTAAACAATGTTAGATATGCCGACGACACCATGGTGATAGCAGATAGTTTAGAGGGACTTCAGAGGCTAATGGACAGAATAAACGAGTACAGTCAACAGTACGGACTAACATTAATACCCACAAAACGAAACAAATGATTATCAGCAAGGAGAATATAAACGGGGCTCGTCTATACATTAATGGGACGCAGATAGAGCGAGTAAAACAGTATTGTTACCTGGGAACTATTATTAACGAACAGTGGAGCAATTTACAGGAAATAAAGTGCCGCATGGGAAAGGCAAGAACGGTCTTTAACAAAATGAGCGCCATTTTCAAAAGTCACAACATATTACTTGATACAAAAAGAGACATTTGAGATGCTATGTTCTCTCTGTGTTGTTGTACGGGGCGGAGGCATGGACGCTTACAGACACCACTATTAAAAAACTTGAAGCATTTGAGATGTGGCTTTATAGAAGAATGCTGAGAATATCATGGACAGCAAGGATCACGAAGAAGGAAGTTCTAGGAAAAATGAAGAAGGAACCAGAGATTGTGTTTAAAATCAAACGCATAAAATTGCAATATCTGGGACACGTTATGAGAAATGAGCACCGTTACTCCCTGCTACAGTCTATATTGCAAGGTAAAGTCAACGGTAAGCGAGGACCGGTAGAAGGAGAATATCATGGCTGCGGAATTTAAGAACATGGTTTAAGAAAACCTCAACGGAGCTGTTTCGAGCCGCAGCGAGCAAGGTTATGATTGCCAATATGATTTCCAACATCCGAAACGGATAGGAACCAGAAGAAGAAGAAGAATTTTGTCATGAACTAATAAAAAATTTTTAACGTCCAATTTGACTATTTCGAAAATGTTTGATTTGTATAAGGAATGACGAGCATCTTCTGTTTGTCTAACTATTTACACTAAAATTTTTCGTGATTTAGGTTTAGCTTTTACTTTTAAAAAACCAAATCAGGACACATGTCACAAATGTGACAATTTTGATGTACAAATTAAATTGTCGTCAGGAGAAACTAAAACCCAATTAATAGCAGAAAGAGACGAATATCATAACATGGCTCAATTTGCTTATGAGCAGAAAAGTCGAGACAAGGCAATTGCTAAAGAAAATCAATCGAAAGGAGTTTATGCATTTGACTTGCAACAGTGCCTGCCTACCCTTAACTTACAACCTGTTTCTTTCTACAAGAGGCAGTTGTGGAGCTTTAACTTCACGGTGCATGACTGGTAACAAACAAAGCAACTTGCGGGATGAAAGCATATCTGGCAGGGGAGCCAATGAAATTTTAAAACACTTGTCCTCTGAAAAAACGGAAGTAACATTTTATTCTGATAAGTGTGGCGGTCAGAATAAAAATAATATCATTGCATTAATGTTTCTTAATTTTTTTAATCAAAAATAAAACCTGAAGATCAACCACAAATTTTTAGTTAGGGATCATACACAAATGGAGTGTGATACTGACCACTCCGTTGTTGAAAGGATCAAGAAAAAAACCAATTTAAAAATAAATCATCTTAACGACTGGGCACAGTTAATCAGAATTGCTAAACAGAAAAATCCCTTTGAAATTGTGATGATGTTGAAACAGAATTTCTTGGAAACATGGCCCTTACATTATTAAAAAAATTGATATTAATGGAGAACGGTTTCTGTGAAAACCTGTTCAATGGCTTCAATATGCTTAAAGCAGCGGCCAAATTTCATTTAAATCAAAGAAAAGAAAACATGACTTATTGTCTTTATTGCCTTTAGTAGATCCTTCATTTCATGCATTTAATCAAAATCTGAAAACGATGTCGCTAATGATCCTGACCTGGAGGAATTGGATCCTGACCAAGATATACAACCTAATTCACAATAAATGCTTTTAAACTTACTGTAAAACTGTTTTTGTTAAATTTTAAATAAGGAAATATTCTCTTTTTATGTTTTAAGTCATTAAACCAAAAAATAAAATACATAGATGGGCTTATTTTCATTAATATATTGACGTGAATAACTGGGTAGTGGTTAAGTCTCATATCTCATTATCCTAATCACTTAATAGTTACAGAATGAGACCAATAATACGTTTGTATTCTATTATATTTTTTTGTAAAGTTTTAGTATTCTATCATATAAAATGGATTTATGACATGTTGTCAAAACTTGTAAGTCATTTTCTGAAAACTATGCAAAATTGACTTAACCACTTATTCACTGGAATAACAGAAATATTCGAAACATATTCGTTTTTTACATAATTTTGGTTCAGCTCCGAGATTTTTAGTTGGAGGGCTTTTTATGGGATGGAAAAGTTGTTAATTAAAATTAAAATTTGAATACATAGCACAAAGAAAACGGTCTTTTCAGATTTTTGGAACGCAGTTGTGCAATGAAATTGAAATACCACAGAAAACTAATCTCCCCATGTCCTTTGTGTTACTTATTGCGGTACTCTTAAGGAGTGTTTTGGGGGCATCGATTTTTCGTACTACTTGTTGCCGACAGAGGTCGGCGAAGATGTCCGACTCTTCACGGAGCTTGTTGTCGAAGAAGGCCGGTGGGGGGAAAGAAAACATTTCCAGATAGGGAAAAAATTGATAATTTAACGCCCACCATGAAGGTGACACCGACATATTCAAATTAACCTAAGCCGTCAGAGACTATTTAGATTTAATTTTTCTTGAACGTGTGATTAGTAAACTAAAATGGCTTCCTCAGTCACTAGATTTACTCCCCTAGATGGTTCATAACCAGGCATCATAAGCGGGTTCATAAGCAGGCATCAAATGATGCTATCTTGGTGATAAAGATGATATCAAAAAGTGTGCGAAAAAACATACTGCGAAACTTATGCATCCAAATGTATTCGAAAATTTTTTAATGAATAAATCACATACAGTTCGAAGGTTTTAAAACTAAGAGTTCCGTTAGAATTAATTGATTAATACTAAATTTATATGTATTATGTATAAATAGGTGTCAAAGATAGTCAATATTGAAGACTAAGTTTAAAAAACGGGAGCATCAGTGGATGCCTCCCTGCATGCCAGCATACTTTAATTGTCAGCCCTGTTACTTATTTTCTATTATCTACCAAAATATTTAAATTGGGATTGTACAGATATATTGTAATAAAAGTGGGGCATTGATTATAAACCACTACCTAGATACCTCACTCTAAGGTAAAAACGAATTCAGTGTTAAACTCCGCCCACTTACACCTCTTTGCCCCTCACGCCTAAGTACTACCTGACTGTATGGTGGCGACATTTATTGAAATCTTTGCCAAGATTGAAAAATAAATTTGAGTTCCCTGCTCCGACAATTCTCTAGTGCAATAGAGGACGATATAAGGATGGTATTCAGCATTTTCACAAATAATTTTAACGTGCTTGTAATCTACATTATGAAATTCCGATTTTACTTCAGAAAAAATGTTAAAAATTGATTAATGAAAACAGTAAAGGTTTTCTAAAAATTATTTATTTATCAACACAATACAAAAAAATAACAAAATATAAATATATAATACAATTATGTATTTTATATTTTATAATACAAACATAATAAAATTAGCGGTGATAAACTACATCTCATGTAAATTACTTTTTTGTAACTTTTCAAACACATGAATTTCCAGAATTGATGCAAACTAAAATATTTCAAGCTAATATACAGAATTTATTGCCAGTGAATGGACTAAAGTCCATTCACTCACGGTAAAATATTGCGAAACCTCCTAATTTTAAAGAATCGCTTGGATTGACATGAGATTTGGCTTACGCCTAGCTAAGATGTCAAAGAAAAAAAGATTATGCTTTTGCCCTATGGTTCAGTATCACCCCTTATCGGAGTGAAAAAATATATGTTCAAGATAAGTTCGGAAGTGCCTAAAATCAGTAATTCTAAGCAACTTTTGTTCTATAGAGTTTTTTCACTCTTCTTCTTAAAGTGCCCTCTCCTCAATGGAGGTTGGCTACTACAATTTTAAACTCTTCTCTATCTTCAGCTGTTCTTATTAGCTGTTCAAAATTTAGCCCTGTCCACAGGCTTTTTTCACTAAGTCAATACTTTTCGAGTTATTGAAAAATAGGTTCTTATCCGTCAAATTCTATGTTGAATATTTCAACGTGAAATAATCAAAAAAATGAAGAACTTTTTGACGAAAACTCATTACAAACTTTTTTTTAGTGTTTAAAAAAGGTTTATTTTTGTTAAGTTTCTTATATCAAGAGTAAGCAAGTTATGATCAAAATATTCAGAAAAGCAAAACCTACATTTTTTTACTCTTTGTGATTTTTGGTGTCACTAATAAATTTTAAGTTATTTGAAAAGAAGCATTTTTTTCAAAATTAAAAAAAATTGTTAAAAAATAAGCCCTTTAAACAAACGAAACTTACAGATCATTATAATAATAGAATAAAAACAATGACCAAGGTATTAATTAGAGAAATCAGGACACGCATTGAAATTGCAAGACAAGCATTTATAAAAATGAAAATAATGTTTGTTAATCGAGATCTTAACTAGTTTTGATAGGAAATAAGCCACAATTTTACTAAAAAAAATGATTTTATTAACGTTTGGACGCCCAAATCGGGTGTCGTTGTCAAAATACAAAAATTATTAATAAATTAAACAAAAATGTTGTTGCTTGATAAAAAAATTCTTCTAATAATTTATTTAATCTAACTCATTTATATTGGCAATTCAGACATATATTATACATTTTAAAGTAGAAGACTTTAAAATGATATTGCCAATATTCATGAGTTGCGTTCCTGGGACTATATTTATATTCTAGCGCGAGAATTTTACTGTCACCATTGTATGTGGTTGACTTTTTAAAGACATATTACATGTTATGATTTTTTTGTGACGGATATTCTTGAGTTGGGGTTAATTTCATGTAATCGAATTAATTATCTTTCAATAAAGTCGTCCCAGGAACGCAACTTATAATATTGGCAATATCATTGCCAATATTTCATTATATACCAGAGGCCATTTTATCTAACATGTGAGTCCTTTTTTTTATAAAATTTCGCTATAACTTGTCACAACACTTGACACAGATAATACACTTATAGGGTAAGTCGGCCCTGAGACCACTACTATTTCCTCGCAAGTCAGAGAGAGAATGAGAATCTCGATATGGTTTTCGAGTAACGCCATCTAGTTTTTGATACGTCTTTCGGTTACCACGAGGTGAGCTATCTAGGTGGTGGTTTATAATCAATGAGTGGGGTTAATAAAAAAAAATAAAGTACTAAGTACTTTATTTTACTTTAGTATTAATAAAATAAAACTTACTTGTTCTTGTACAGAGCTCTTTCTGGCCGATTCCAGGTCTCTTCCTTCTAATTTCATCTTAACTCTACGCCAGACATTCACCGCGTAGGCATTTCTCTGCTGCCCCTTTGATCCAGTCTCCTGCTTCTGAGGAACCGATTTCTCCAAACTTTCACTGAATGATTTCTGTTGAATCAACTGTGCTCTTTTCTGAGCCGATTCCAAGTTCAGTAAATTTTCGTAAATAGTTTCGGTATGATCTCGAATATAAAATAAATGATTCAAGAGGACTTGAATTTCGTCTTTGTTCAAATCTTTTTTGAAATGATTGAAAAGTGATGAAAAATGATCGATGTAGAGTCGATATTCCTGCGTAAAATATTGTGTGGCTACGCTGTATTCTTCGATTTTAGTCATGATTTTCATTAAACCCTTAACATCTGATATTAATTTTCCATGAATGTTGTATATAGTTTTAAAATTATCCATCATAGATACCAGATTCTCGACATCAGTAAAGCTTGTTTCTCTCTTATCTATCAATTCTTTTTGGCCCTTTGTTATAGTATCTGTTAACGTTTCAGACACTTTTTGCAGCCATTTTGCATCACTAACCAAATCAGCAGTCAACATTTTCAAAATACTTTCTTCAGAAGGTGACAGAGACTCAGTTTTTGAATCTATGTATTGACAAGCTAATCTCCAGGTTTCAAAAGCCTTTAAAAATATTTTATCATGTTCCTTTGTGACTTCGGAAGTAGTAGATCTAAGAAACTCATGTTTTAATACTGTACTGCATGAAGATAAAATGTGATTTGCAACTTGTAATCCTAGGTCTAGTTGAGCATTTCTGTTTCCAACTGCGGTTTCGAAAGCTGCCGAGATTTCAACCACGTTGGGTTAGCTCCCTTTGCCCAATTCAGTCGCTGGTCAGCCTTTTCTATTAGCTTCTCTTGGTTATTTTTGGCCTCGACCAGTTGCCTGTAGATACTCTGTAAATTATTTACTTCAGATTGTATGTCTACGGTAAATTTAGTTCTTACAGATGAGAAATTCTGAAGCTTCAAAACTTCGTCAAACATCATATTATGCACAGCCAGCTGGCCTTGCAATCTTAACGTACTGGATTGTAACACAGTTAATTTTTGTTCTATCTTTTTGGGCTCTTGAATTTTTTCCCAGGCTAATTTTAGATTCGTTTCCAGACTAGAAGCTTGCGATAGGATATTTTGTGAAAAGATACCGTCTTTGAGTAAAATAGTATAGGCCTTTGTGTACAATTCATCAAGAGGTACTTTACTTTCGGCACCAATATCTTTTTGTTCAATTTCATGAGTAACGTCTAAGCCTAAATTTTGCAGTAAAAAGCAGACCGAATAGGTAATAATTTCTGGAAGTATTCCCAATAGCTTCCTCGATATAAATTCAGCAATAAACTGCTTTACTGGTTTGGTAAGTTGTTCGTCGCTAAAAATAATACCAGATCCTATGCCTTTCAGTGATTGGCACATCTCTTGAACCAATCCAAAGAATTCCACAATAGTTTTTAATCTTTTTAAGAAAAATATATCTTCTAGTAAATTTCGTACTTGAACATTGAAAATATGCGGAGCGATATTTCTTGCATCTTTAACGTGATCCAGCCTTTTCCAAGACTTTGGTATATCCAAATTTCCTAAGGTATTCGTCAAATTTGTTATTTCTTGTGACAATTTCTCGAAAAGACCGTTGAAGCCCATGAGAAGCATTTTTCCTTGACTAAGCGTTTCTGATTGACTCGGAATTCAAAGTTAAAAATTGTTTCTTCGTGAATGCTACACGTTCTAGGATGAAGTCATAGGTGTTCTAAAAAGAAAAAAATATTATAATTTGCACAAAAAGAAAATACTCTCTAAAATTTTAACGAATCAAATAATGCGGAAATGGTTTCTATAATTGTTAAAAACAGATTAAAACCGTACGCCTTGCGCAATCTATTATACAAAAATGAATCCCTATTTCCATATGTCACGCCATAACATTGCGCTTTTAACGATGTCGCTTTGTTTCTGGAAGAATTGGGGTTTCCCCAGTTAGTTGCAGTGACGGAACACTGACTTGAAGTTAATGAGCCAATTTTCATTCAAGAATATACCACAATTGCTCATCAAAGGTATGATCGTCCAAGTTCAGCTGATGGTGGCAGTCTGATTCTTTCAAATAACAATGATTTTTCTTCAGTTTCGAAATATGACTATTTGCTGGGTTGAAAAACTACTTCGAATTTTCTTTGATTTTTAATAAGAAATTTAATCTATACATTATTTGCATTTATAGATCACCTAGCTCTGATACTGAACTATTTTTTCAGAGCCTGCTAAATTTGTTTAGATATTCTGCCCATTAAAAACAGAAAAATTTTATGTGGTGATTTTAATATTGACTACGCTGCTGTTTGTGCGACCCAACTGTCTTTGGTAACTATTTTTGAATCATATGGTCTCACAATGCACGTTAATTCTCCAACAAGAATCTCAAAAACATCATTCTCGACAATTGATTATGTGGTTTCCGATTTTCCACCCGCTGACGTCCATTCTACAGTTATTAGTGGGGGGCTTTCTGATCATGAAACGGTATATACCAAGTTTAGCAGTTTACAAACACCTCCCCCCGACGATTAGGTAGGATTTTTTTCCACTCAAAACTTTCGTAAATTCTATAATTCATGCTTGACTTCTGACTGGAGTTTTTCTTCTGGAGACATTGACTGTAATGTTAGTGATTTTCTAAATAGACTTGTATCTATTTTTAATAAAGCATTTCCTCTATTAAACATCAGGCCAAAACATAATAAACCTTGGATTACCAAAGGCATTCGCATATCTGCGAAAAATATGCGTTCTCTGCTATATATTAAAAAATTTAATGACAGTATCCCCATCTCTGATTATATCAACAAGTACAGAAAATGCTATATAAAACTACTCAAAGTAGCCAAAAAATCCTACTTTCATAATCGCTTAACAAGCTCCAAAAATATTTCAAAAGAAACTTGGTCAATAATAAACGATTTTCGAAATAAAACCAGTACAGCGGATCAAACCTTTTCTTTTCCTAACCCCGAAAATCTAAATGATTACTTTGTTAATGTGAGTAAAAATATAACCTCAACTATTTCGCCACATTAAGATCCAGTTTCCTATCTCTCTAATTCAAAAAACATTGCTGATACCTTCTTTTTAAGACCAGTTGATAAGACGGAACTCATTTCAACAATTCGTAGTATAAAAAGCACATCGTCCTGTAGTACAGATGGATTATCTATTAAAATTTTCTCAAATCTACCGCATAATGTTTTGGACGTCATGGTCTCGCTAGTAAATAATTCCCTTGAAAAAAGGTACATTCCCTAACTGCCTAAAGACTGCCATCGTCATTCCTCTTCATAAAGGTGGAGAAAAATCTGATGCCTGCAACTATAGACCTATTGCCTTGTTACCAGCACTATCAAAAATGATTGAAAAAAGACTTATAAAAGTTCGACTTATGCCCTTTCTCCTTAAATATAATATTTTATCGCAAAATCAGTTCGGCTTTTTGTCTAATAAATGCACTAGTGATGCCATATTTTCTGTGTTACATGATGTATATCTATCACTAAACAGTAACCTCTCCTCCGCCACCGTTTTCTGCGACTATTCCAAAGCCTTTGACTGCGTAAATCACGACATTCTATTAAAAAAATTAACTTTCTATGGAATTCGGGGTGTGTCTTTGAACTGGTTCAAAACTTACTTGGTAGGTAGGAAACAATTGGTTAGAATAAATGACACCGACTCTAGTTGTAAAGATATTGAGTGTGGAGTACCGCAAGGTTCAGTATTAGGTCCCATTCTTTTTTTACTTTTCATTAATGACATCACTTACTTGAAAATTAAAGGGAAAATTTTTCTATTTGCTGATGATACCAGTATTACTTGGAGCAGCTCTGATATTTCAACGCTTCATTCAATTATAACCGATGATTTACTTATAATCAAGGATTGGTCAGACTCCAACTTACTTAGCTTTAACGTGGATAAGACTGTAGCATTATCTTATAAAGGAGTCATGCAACCCTTGCTTTTGAATGAGAGCCAAATCAATATCGTAAATTCCGTGAAATTTCTAGGTATTCTCATTGACAGTGATCTCAAATGGTCCTTGCATACTGACTCCTTAAGGAAGAAACTAGCCTCAGCTTGCTTTGCAATAAGATCTGTTTCGAAGGAACTAAATTTATCTTCTGCCAAAATGGCATATTTCTTATTGTTCGAGTCCCATCTTCGATATGGGCTTCCATTTTGGGGTTCTAGTACAGCGGCCCAATTTGATACTATTTTTAAGTTGCAAAAAAGAGCAATCCGTTATCTATTTGGTCTCAAACAAACAACTCACTGCAAGACCTACTTCAAAAATCACGTAATTTTGACGCTTCCCTCTTTATTTATTTTGGAAACGGTTTGTTTGATTCAAAAGCATCTAAACATTTTTCCCGATAGACCTGACCATGGCTACTCCATTAGAAATTCGGATTGTAACGTTTATTTGCCGATCCCGTCCACTCAGCTAGTAAAGAATTCTATTCTATATCGTACAAAGAAACTTTATAATCACCTTCCAAGAGAAATTAAATCCGCAACATCCTTCATTAAGTTTCGTAAGGTGACAAAAATCTATCTCTCAGAAAGACCATATTATTCAGTTGACGAGTTTCTTAATGTATAACAAAGAAACAAAATTAGTATTGTTTATAATTACATTTGGGTGTCTCAAGCAGTGGCTACAATTTGTCTCATTTGTTGTTGTCTGTACAAATTATGTAGGTTATACAATAATTTTACTAATTTAAAATTGTGTTATTCAGTTTTTTACTATATTGTTTTTGTTTTATACTTTTTGTATTATTTGACTGATTTATTTTTTAGCTTTGTCCATAAAATTGTTCAATAATTTTCAGTGACAATAAAGCATATTTCTATTCTATTCTATTCTATTCGTTCAAACCCAACGACAATGATAGTGAAGAACTGAGATGGGAAGAACCATTCCAAACTGAAGAAAGAATAACATTGACATCACTTAGAGAAGTATCAACAGAGATAAAAGAGAATATAAATCCTAAGAAAGCTCCAGGATATGATCTCATAACAGGACAATTATTAAAAAATCTACCAAGAAAAGCCATAGTTAAGCTGACACACCTAATAAATGCTGCTTTTAGATTGAGATATGTTCCCAGACTCTGGAAAGTAGCCGAAGTAATTATGATCGCCAAACCAGGTAAATCTCTTAATGAAGTGACATCCTATCGACCAATATCCCTCCTTCCGGTGATGTCAAAACTATTTGAAAAACTTCTATTAAAAAGATTAAAACCAATAATAGAAAGAAAAAATCTTATACCAAATCATCAATTTGGTTTCAGAAATCAACATTCCACTATAGATCAAGTTCACAGAATAACGAATATAATAGAAAAAACATTAGAAGAAAATAAAGTCTGCTCTACAATCTTTTTGGATGTAGCACAGGCGTTTGATAAAGTCTGGCATGACGGTTTAAACTATAAACTAAGAAGGTTCATGCCTAAACAGTATTCAGAAATCTTGAAATCATACATTGCGAATAGATATTTCAGAGTAAAACAAGAAGAAGTGTACACCGACTTAAGGGAGATCAAAGCTGGCGTGCCACAAGGAAGTGTCTTAGGTCCAGTCCTGTACCTATTGTATACGTGTGACATTCCAGAGCTAGAACAAAATACTATTGCCACCTTCGCGGATGATACAGCCATACTAGCGATAGGAGACACTAGTGAAGAAGCGACTGATAAATTGCAACTATCAGTAAATAAAATACATAACTGGACCAGAAAATGGCGAATAAAATTAAATGAGACTAAATCTGCACACATTAACTTTACAAATAAAAAAATAGAAAATTTCCCAGTTAGAATAAATGATACCCGAATTCCTTATGCAACATCAGCAAAATACTTGGGCATCACCCTAGACGCGAAGCTGCGCTGGAAAGTCCATGTCAAAAAGAAAAGAGGGGAGCTTGATATTAGATATAAGAAATTGTATTGGCTGATTGGAAAAAATTCAACATTGTCAATTCATAATAAATTATCCATCTACAAGCAAGTACTGAGGCCAGTATAGGTATATGGGTGCCAACTCTGGGGCTGTACCAAAGCTAGTAATCTACTTATTATCCAGAGATTTCAAATAAAGTACTGAGAAACATTGTTGATGCTCCTTGGTGTATCCGTAACAGCAACCTCCACCAGGACCTGGGTATGGAAATTGTGATCGAAATAATCAAGAGAACAGCAGCAAGTCACGAGCAGAGGCTGCATAGTCATGTGAATGTCGAGGCAATCCAGCTTCTTGACAACACTGAACTAAAGAGAAGACTCATAAGGACAAAACCATTTGAGCTAGTGTAAATGTGTAACAGTTTAGTGTAAAAAGCAGAGTATAGTGCTGTGAAGTTATTGCATGCTAGTTTTAGTGCATTAGTTAATAGATCAAATAAGAGTAAGCCATAGGGTAAGCCCTTAGATTTAAGTATTTTCTGTTATTATGTTAGGTCAGAAAATAACTGATAATTGGTCATTTGTGACCAGATAGCAGTATACAAACACCGCGCAGGTGTTAAAAAAAAAATCTATTCTATTCACAGTTAACATGATTCAAATGTTGTACTGAGCAGTACTGTG